GGGTTGGGGAGAGACTGAGAAAGATGGATTCAACTATGTATACTGCATTGAAACAGATGAGGTAGAAAACTGTTTAAAAGGGATATGTGATTAGGTATTTTTGTCATAATTGGAGTCTAGAGTGAAGGCTACATGGTGGAGTGAACCTGGGGGAAGGTTTGTAAAACAATGAAAGAATTTTTCTTTTACTTTTCCAAGAGGGTAGTGTACTAGGGGGTAGGGCTGGGAGGGGAGAAAAGTGCAACAATGAATGAATGGAAATCCAAAGTCTCTGTAAATACTTACTGAAATTAATAATAAATTTAAATAAAACAAACAACAACAAAAAAAAACCCAAAACACCGCAATGTATGGGATTGAATGTAATTAAGGAAAATGGGGGAGTGGGAATCTGCATTAAAAAAAAAAAATTAAGAAAGAACTAAACACGGCCCTATGTTGTGTCTTCATAATTTCTACTGTGCTTACAGCCCACTGTTAGAGACACTGCGACAATTCATCTCTTTGAAGGTCTTCCTTTCTTGTGCTGACCCTCTACATTTTCAAGCCTGATGTCTTTTCCAGGGCCCATCCTGATAGCATGTATGTGAGACAATCTTGTTTCTAATGAGCATTCTGGCTGCAATTCCTCCAAGACAAATTTGTTCATTTTTTTGTGAGTTCATGGTACAGTCGATAATATATAAAGTATCGAGCCCAATGCCATAGTGAAGGAGCTCAGTAAATGGTGTAGATATCCATGCATCCCATGGGGTGGTTGAGACCTGTTATTAAGAGCGTCAACATCCTGGGGTGGGGGGTGGGGGGCGGGGTTGCAGGATGAGAACGAGGAGGCTCCCTGAGGCTAGATCGTGTTTAAAACAAAGAAAAGAGGAGTCGGGTGAGTAACGGAGGGAGTGGGCGCAGGGCATGCGGACTCAGGGCTTCCGTGAGGTCCGTGACACTGAGCTCCGCACACTCCTAGGTGAAGGCGACACTGTTGGTCTGAAAACCACACTTCTGCGTAGCGAAGACTCACACGATTTTACCTGTTAACGTACCAAGAGACATAGGTCCCTCCCACGTACTCGGCGGTCAGAAGGCAACGGCGGCCAGTGAGCCGGGATCTCGGGAGAAGAGGCAAAGCGCGGCGGCCAGAGCGACAGCCGAGGTTCCCGGCCAGGAGGGAGGGTGCGGGGAGGAAGGGAGACCAAGAGTGCACAGGAGACGCCCCTAAACCCCAGGACAGGGGCTCGTAGGGCCGTTCCATAGTGGACTAAGTCGACTAGCAACTACGAAAATCGTACCTGATAAATGAGAAGAAACCGCTGAAATTAGACAGGTAACCCGCACACTCCCACTTCCGGTTTCTGGGCTCGGTGCATCACAGAAATGGTTCCGTGTAGAAACGCAGAGGCCGCTGCTTAGTGACCGGAGGGCTCAGGGCCACCACTTCTCATCGCTTCCGATAGAGAAACACCTACGTTTCCTTCTAGGCGTACAGCTGAGCAATTTATGCTGAAACAAGGATTTCAATAACCAGCTATACTCTTGGGACGCAAATAAAGTTGGTGTTTGCTTATTTAGCCATTTGAAAAAAAAAATCTACCATGTTCTTTAGAAATTACATTTCTTCGACTTTAAAATTGGTCAACTACCTAGTTTGGTTTTTTCTGTTTGTCATCTGCAGTTTATCAGGTCTCTTTCCCTATGATCAGGATATAGTATTCACTTTGAACAAGCCTGCTCCACAGCAGCGAAAGGGATGCAAGATTATAAAGGGTCAGAAAATTAACATCGGCGTTGACCAGGGTCAGTGGGAAGAGTCCTGATGACATCATCATCCTGGACCTTCTGTATGGTGAGTCCCACTGGAAGAAGGAAAGCTACAAGGGACTCCTTCTATTGATTTTTATGTCTGGTGTGATTTACCCGCTCCCTAGATATAGTGCTGTAGCGCTGAAGGTATACAGACACCTAGCTACTAACTGAAATACCCACCAGAGTTCAATCCCGCCAGTCAACCTGCTTAAGAAAGATGAGCAATCCCCTCCAGCAAAGATTTCCAGCCTCAGAAATCCAATGGAGAGTGGCTGTGACTCCATGGCAGTGAATTATATCTGAATACACGAAATCATGCTCAAAAAACTATACAGGATCAGGCCAAATGTGCCTAACACTTCCTTTTGAAAATACTGTTACTGCAACATAGCAATGGCCATTCATTTATATATTGTTTCTTTCTGCTGTCAACCTACAAAGGCAGAGTTAAGTTTTTGCAAAGATGAGTATGTGCCGGGCTTGATTTCACAATTTAAGTCTTTCACAACTGCTTTGATGAATGTTCTTGTTGTTGTAAAGTGCCATCAAGTCGTAGACAACTCATAGTGACCCTGTGAATGAAAGACCTGAACACTTGTATAACTTTCATCATTTCTCCAAGTTCATAGTGTTTCCGGAGGCAAGCTATTTTGGAAGTGAATGCCACTCCTGCTTCCAAGCTGGTTTTAATTGGGGAGTACTGAAGAGCAACTGTGTGTCTCTGGAGACTAAGGTGCATCTGGTACAGGTCATGATCTTTGTAATTACTTGTTATGCATCAGAGAGCTGGACAATGACCAGGGAGGATAGAAGGAGAACTGATGCCTTTGAGCTTTGGTGTTGGAGAAGAGTGCTGAGGGTACCATGGACTGCTAAGGAAACAAAGATTCATGCTGGAGAGGGTTAAACCGTGCTGCTCTTTGGAGGCAAGGATTCTGAGACTTCGTCTGACATACTTTGGTCATGTTGTAAGGAGAGCCGGTCCTTGGAGAAGGACATCATGCTTGGGAGGGTGGAGGGCAGGCGCAGGAGGGGAAGACCCTCTGGGAGGTGGACTGATTGGGGGAGGGGGCAATCGGGATGAGTGTGTCGGAGACAATGAGATTGGCACAGGACAGAGCAGAGTTTAGAGCTGTTGTACATAGGGTCGCTATGAATTGCAAGCGACTCAACGGCACATAACAACAACCACCACCACCAAACACTGTCCGCCATGGGTAACCATTATACATTTGACACATCAGTGTCACAGTGTTTAGCATCACAGCAACCATGAGTTACCTCTGTACAGCAAATGAACAGAGCAGTGCTATGCCACTTAGAAGAATGTTTAACCAAAAACAATTAAAACCAGGCCTGAGGGCTGCAGACTAAAATCACCCACCTCTGGCTTGGATTAGCACAGAAATGGGTAATGGGGTTAGGTGTGTCAGAGAGACTGGCTCAAAATACGGGAGGCACAGGTGATTCGACGGCACATAACCACCACCTTTATTTTGAGGAAACAATAATTCAAACCATGACAATGTGTAGATTCAAACAAAAGGCCTTATGAAGTATCTATTTTTAGAAGATTTCTGTGCAACAACAAAGTTACAAAAAACTTATTTAGAAAATCATGCCAATCTTAGGCTCACCATTAGGTTTTATTTAAAAATACTGACCAAAGTGGTTAAAATGTTAGTGTTCTGATTCATAAAGGTTTTTAAAGTATTTCTAGATTTATAAAAAGAACATAAAAGTTTTAATGAACTCAATAAAAGTTTCCAATCCTCATTTTTCAAATTCTTTATTTACATTATTTTGGCTACTTCATATTTGCTTTCTTTCCAATTTCTAGACTGTTTAATTTTACAAACAGATGGATTTTATTTTTCTTTTAAAAAGCATTTGTTGCTGTTAACTACTATCAAGTCGAACCTACCTATATCTGACCCTCAGGTGGTTTTCAAAGGCAGTTAATCACATGGGAGGAGACTGCCCATCCTCCCTCAGAGCAGCTAGGGGATTTGAACCATGTGCATTCAGGACTGCAACACAGGTTCTTACCAGTAGGCCACCAGAGCTCCTCAAAAAGCATTTAACATGTTCACAAATAAAAAGTAGCATTTTGAAAGCAAGTGAGGACAATGCACTTCCTACTATTTAGAATCAGCTTTGCGAAGTACTTTTGCTTCATGGAAAATAACCAACGATGTGACTTGCAAAGTGTATAGGCAAAATTTACTTATTATTCTTGGAATTGGATTACATTCCAATACACTCTTGGGCACATGTCAACTACATTAAAAAATCAAAAGTCTCAAAGTAACAAGAGTTCTCTTCCCAAGAGAACAGTGACACCTTAACAATATAAAAGTTTTATCAAGAGTATTGTGGAAAGAGGGTAGGCAGCATGAGTACAGCTGCATCTGACTTCTCTTAACTCCACAAGGGGCAACTGTCCCCATCAACATCATCCACAGTGCAAAATTAATTCCAGTATTATAATGAAATGCTCAAAGATCTGGAGTCAAAAAATCAAAGGGAAAAAATCAAAGGAGCCGAACTTGCTTGGCATTTCTTAAGCTGAAGGAACTGAAGAACAAATTCAAGCCTTGAGTTGCAATACTTAAAGATGCTTTGGGCAGAATATGAAATTATTCAGAAAGCATTAAAAGAAGATGGGAAGAGTCATTGTACCAAAAAGAATTGGTGGACACAGAAGAATTTCCTGAAACAACGTATGAGCAAGAGCCTGTGGTGATGAAGGAAGAAGTTCAAGCTGCTCTGAAAGAACTGACAAAAAACAAGGCCCAGAGAATTGATAGCACACCAGTTGACATATTTCAAAATAGACACTGCCCTGGATCTGCTTACCAAGTTGTGACAAGAAATCTGGAGGACAACTGCCTGGCCAACTGACTGGAAGAGATCAATATTTGTTTCTATTCCAAAGAAAGGTGACCCAACAGAATGTGGAAATTATTGAACAAATCACTGATATCTTCAGCAGTAGGGTTTTCAAAAGCCTTTTATTTAGGAAGTAGATGGCCCATCCTCCTTCCTAATCTGTCTTAATCAGGGAGCTCCACCAAAACCATCCACAATGGGAAACTCTTAGAATTTGACATGAGTGGCAAAGATTCAGTATCACAGCAACCACAAGTAATCGCAGTACAGAAAACTGACTGACAAGTGCTGCTCCACTTAGAACAATGTTATTTCTAAACACGATCAACAGAAGTTAATCAGCTTACACTTGATTGCTAATATAATTTAGAAATGTCCAAATAGTTTACCCCAGCTTTCAAGTAAATTACAAACACTTACCTTCCAGGATCCAACTTCGGCAAGCTAAAGGCTCACTCACAGGCAGGACCAGACCAATTTTTAAATACCTAGATCTGCCCACACAGAGGCTTCCCACCCAAACTGTATACAAGAGCAGATACAATTAATCAGCTTACATTTGGTCGCTAACATAATTTAGAAATGTCATTCCAAAACGGATGGAACAGCACATAGATAGGGAATTGCTAGAAGTTCAAGCAGGATTTTGAAGAGACCATGGTACCAGGGATATCACTGCTGATATCAGATGGATCCTGGCTGAAAGTAAGGAATACCAGAAGAATGTCTATTTGTGCTTTATTGACTATGTAAAGGTGTTTTACTGTGTGGATCATGACAACTTGTGGCTGCCACTGAGAAGAATGGGAATCCTAGAGCACTTGATTGTGCTCATAAGGAACCTATACCTGGAGCAGGAGGTTTTGCAAATACAGCAAGGGAGTGCTGCATGGTTTGGGATTGGGAAGGGAGTGTGTCAGGGATGTATTCTATCTCCATACCTATATATGCTATATATATAGAATATTCAATCTATATTCTGAGCAAATTATCAGAAAAGCTGGACTCTATGAAGAGGAATGTGGCATCAGAATTGGAGGAAGAATTGTCAACAACGTGTGTTATGCAGATGATACAACTTTACTTGCTGAAAGTGAGGAGGATTTGAAGCCCTTGTTGCAGAAGATCAAGGAATGCAGCCTTCAGTAGGGATTGTATCTCAATATCAAGAAAACAAAGATTCTTACCTAATAGGCAGTATCAAGACAGATGAAGAGGAGAGTGAAACTGTCAACAGCTTCATCTTCCTTGGATCCACAATTAACACCCTTGATACAAGCAGTCAGGAAATAAGGAGATGCACTGCAATGGGAAAATCCGCAGTTAGGGACCTTTACAAATTATTGAAAAGTAGTGATGTCAGTTAGAGGACTAAGGTGTTTTTGAGTCAGACCATGGTCTTTCCAATTACTAGCTCTGCATCCGAGACCTGGGCAAGAATGACAGAAAAAGAATTGAGGCCTCTGAGCTGTGGTGTTGGAGAAGAGCACTGAACATTCCATGGATGGCCAAGAAAACAAATAGATATATCTTAGAAAGGGTGCAGCCATAGTGCTCTTAGGAGACAAGAATGATAAGGCTTTGCCTCACATACTTTGGACGTATTACTAGGAAGTGCTATTCCTTGGAGAGGGACATGATGTTATGAAGAGTGGAAGGCTGACAAAGGAGAGGAAGACCCTCAACCAGGTGTACTAACAAGGTGACTGCTGCAATGGGCTCTTGTGTGTCAGGAAGTATGAGGATGGTGCATGACAGGACTAGGTTCAGATCTTTTGTTCACAGGGTCACTACCAGTTGTACTAGACACAATGGCACCTAACAACAGCAACAACAATCACTGATATAACAATGATCCAAGCAAGATTCTGCTAAAGATTATCCAAAAACAACTGGAGCAGCACATCCACAGAGAACTGCCTGAGGAGCAAGCTGGTTTAGAAGAGGCTGTGGTACTAGGGATATCATAGCTAATGTTAGATGGATCTTGGCTGAAAGCATGAGTACCAGCGGAATGTCTATCTGTGTTTCATTGACTATGCAAAGGCATTTGACTGTGTGGATCGTAACAAACTATGGCTGACTCTGAGAAGAATGGGAATCCCAGAACACTTGATTGTGTTTAGGTGAAACCTATACTTAGCCCATGAGGAAGTCATCAAATCAGAGCAAGGAAACTGCATGGTTCAAAACTGGGAAAGATGTGTGCCAGGGATGTGTCCTATCTCCACACCTTTTCAATCTATATGCAGAACAGATTATCTTGGAGGCTGGGCTCTATTAGGAGAAATGTGGCATCAGGATGGGAGGAAGACTCATCAGTATTCAGTGTTATGCAGATGATGCAACCTGTTTGCTGAAACTGAGGAGGACCTGAAGTGCTTCCTGCAGAAAGACAAGGACTGTAGCCTTCAATATGCGTTGAAGCTCAACATCAAGAAAACAAAGATTCTCACCACTGGGCAAATTGGCAGCACCATGATAGATGGTGAAGAGATTGAGATTGTTAACAGCTTTTGTTTGCGTGGCTCTACAATCAACACTGTTGGTACCAGCAACCAGGAAATAAAAAGATTAATTGCTTTAGGAAAGTCTACTATCAGAGAAATCTCCAAAGTACTAAAGGGCAACTATGTCAGTCTGGAGACTAAGGTGTGCCTGATCCAGGAAATAGTCTTCGCAATTACTTGCTATGCATCAGAAAGCTGGACAATAACTAGGGATGATAGTAGGAAAATTGATGCCTTTGAGCTGTGGTGCTGGAGCAGAGTATTGACTATACCATGGACTGCTAGGAGAACAAACAAGTTCATCCTAGAGAGGATGAGACCAGGCTGCTCCTTGGAGTCAAGGATTCTGAAGCTTAGTCTGATATACTGTGGGCATGTTGAAAGGCAGGACCACCAGTCCTTGGGTGGGCCGTCATGCTTGGGAGGGTGGAGGGACAGTGCAAGAGAGGAAGACCCTCGAAGAGATGGATTGATTCAGTGACTGGGTAATGGGGAGGGATGTGTCAGAGACAATAAGATTGGCACAGGATAGAGCAGGGTTTAGGGCTATTGTACATAGGGTCACTATGAGTTGCAGGCACCTCAATGGCACATAACAACAACAATACAGTCAAACATAGTCTCTTGGTCTTTTATCCCTACTTCCACTAATTCTAATACCAAACTTATTCTTCTACTGGGTCTGAAATCTGTTGCAATGACTACACAGACTTTACCAAACCATTCTCATGGTTATGTGGTTTATTAGGGAAGTTGACAGTCTATAATTCAGGTGGGTTATAGGATATAATCCCTCAGTCCAGAAAGCTTTTCAAGAGTGGTCACAGGCTCTTTGAACTTCAATCTCACAACTCAGGTCAATGTACTCTTAGTACTGCCAGTTATAACGTCTTCCCTCGATACTCCAGCAAGCTTGGGTCAAGGCTTATGGCTTTTTCCAGGTATTCTAGATTTTTAAAATCTATCCAGCACTTTTAGTCTGTCCTTTGCTCTTCTGAGACAAGAATAGTTCTCCATCACTAGTACTATTTGGAGGCTAACTCTGTAAAATCCTTTGTTCCTTTTGACTATACAGTTTTCTCCCTATCCTCATTACTGTTGTCTGTGACTATTCATTTAATAGACTGATTAATGACTTTGGAAGCTGACTCCTTCTTGGCGTGTCTCTTAAATTCTGCATAAATTCCGAAGGTTTCCATGTTTATGTGAATATTTATTGGTTCCTTTTGCCTTTAGTTTCTTTCACATCATTGCCGAGAATTTTCCACTTCATCATGTGGTGTGGTGGGTCTATTGTTCAAAATGGCTTTTGTAGGCCTTTGTCCTTGACTTTGCCATATGGCTGTGCAGAAACATGCAAATAGGAAGAGTTAGTCTATCCACAAGGGGATTGGCTTGTTTTGCCAATCCACCAGGTTTAAATTGAGAAGAAATTTGGGATTTCACTACAAGCAAGAAAGAAGTAGCAGAGAATGAAGTAGTCTATCGTTTGAGACCAGAGATTCCTGCACTAAGCAGAGTGGGGCTTAAGGATTAGCAGCAACAGCCACAGTGGAGAATCAAGAGACCCAGTGTGAGACAGAATAGACCTGGAACTGCTGCTCCGTGGAGCTGGAGCCAGGGACTTTGCCCAAGCTTGCTGGGGAAGATGGGAGTGGGGAGTGGTTTAACAGGCAGGACAGAGAGAGCTCTGATACACTGGCCTAAAACCACAAGGGTGGAGTGCCTGTGAGCATACTTGTACCACATTGCCAAGCTGAACTGTAATGTTATCTTCTCTAATAAACCCCTAATTGTGAGTGTGGTTTTGTGAGGTCTGTGTAGCTACTACAATGGATTCTGGATCCAGTAGAGCAGTTAAGACTGACTGGTGGCAGAATTAGTAGAAATGGGGGGAAGGTCATGGGAATTAGTTCTGGCTTGTGGACATTGATAACGGGGGCAGTTCCTTATTGTGGAGTTGGGAAGACTGATATGGCTGTCCCCACACCACTCTCCTTTTTCTTACAGTCCCACTTCAGATAAGTGATTCCATGGACCTGTGGTCGTTCAGAGTACACTACTCGTCTGAAATCAATTACGCTGTCTTCAAAACATCTCGACCTCCATAGAGTTTAACCCACATCAAATTCCTTAAGGAAACAAAACCAATGAGATGCAGTTCTTCTATTTTATCCTTCTCAAGATACTCCCTATTCCTCTATTCTCACAAACCATGAATGTAATGGTGTCATGGATCCAACTTCTGCTTCTGTAAATTCCTGCCAGTGTTCTGAACTACTAGTGAGTAAATTCCTGTCAATGCTTTGAAACCATCAGTGAGAAAACCCTATGACTATTTCTATGTCTAATTCCCTATAAAAAGCTCAGGACAAGAGGTTCCAGGAGCATGGCTATTTCTGGACAATAGTCTCCCCACTGCTCTGCCAGTAAATAAATCCCTTCTTCTGTAAAACACAGGTGTTTTGTCTTCATGCAACTCTAACAAGAACACTGACCACAAAAAGTGTAGAGAAAAAGCTGAGAGATCAAAAGGCTAAATTTTAGCTTAGAAAATATAAAACTTGAAGAACACGTGTACTATTTTACTATTTTTAGTATTTCATATGGTGAAGGGGTTGTATATTTATTTTTGTGTGCCCAGAAGGCATAGATTTGACTGAAAAGATGTGTAGATAAGGAAGTCTACTCCAACAAAGTCGTAATAAATGTCAGTCATTTGAGAAGATTCTAACATGATAAACACCAAGGATTCCAACAATTTCCTCATAGCATTATCTAAATCCAAAAATACAATTTTTAAACTCTTACTCTAATTCAGGCTGGATCCACATGACCTAGTGGTCTAAGTCTCTCAAACAATGGTGAAATTGTAGAGCAGAATGTATCTTGCTTTCCTACGAAAGAAAGAAACCAAGATACATTCTGAGAAAAACCTCTAGTGGTTCCCTGTATGACTGTAATTCTATCATTCCGCTTACTAGTTATCTGAAGGCTCTATCACCCCATTTTTAAAAATTTAATTCATGAACTTCATTACAAGGCTGTCTGCTTTGTGACAGGCTGCATTCTTTGTGATAGTGAAGAAATTAGTTAACTCATTCATTCTTTGTTTCAAGTGTTCAAAGGTCTTCCATTTCAGAATAAAGAACAGCAAAGACAAGTAACAAACTCTATACAAAAAAAACCTTTTCTTTATAGTGAATGAGACAAAACATTATCAATACTATACTAGGGGAGGGGTGGGAGGGTGGACAAAAGGAAGTATACTACAAAAATAGGCATTGACATGGTGATCTTACTGAGGAGTCAATGTAAAACTAAAGAAATTGAATGAGGAATGTATTTTAGACCAATAACATAGAAATGCAAACATTAGCCATAATAGTGATAAAAGAAGATGCTAAGTTTAAAAATTAACATTTTCCCATCAGCAAACGAATGGATAAAGAAGCTCTGGAATACTATGGAATAACACAATGGGATACTATGCAGCATTGAAAACCAAGGAACTCATGAAATATTATGCAAAATGGATGACCCTGGAGGACATTATGCTGAGTGAAATATCTCAGTCACAAAAGGACAAATATTGCATAAGGCCACTGTTGTAAAATGGGACAAGCATCAGGGTTGAGGGAAGATGGGAAAGGAGGGGAGGAATAATGTTTATTTCATTAAAACAGATGAGGGAGAGAACTGTTTAAAAGGGACATATGAATGGGTATTCTTGTCATTACAGAAGTCCAGAGTGAAGGTTGTACAGTGGAGCGGACTTGGAGATGGAGGGATTACATAACAATCAAAGAGTTTTTCTTTTCAAGGAGACGAGTGAATTGGGGGGGCAGAGGTGGGTAGGGAGAAAAGTGCAGTAATGAATGACTGGGAACCCTAAGTCTCTGTAAGCTTTCATTAAAATTAATTTTAAAAATAAAAAAATGAACATTTTGCTATCAGTAGCTAAAGATTACAGTTACAACAGGTAACTCTTGTCCTATGACAAAATAGGTTGTTGACTGTTATGTAGGATATTTAGTTAAGGTTGAGGAAGAAGTTTCTACTAGAGATATGGACATGTGGAAGTCAATTAGGTTAATGATTAAAGCCATGAACATGGGTAGCTGTAGCATCTTCTCAAGGAAGCTTAAACAAGAAGATCGTAAAAACAGAGCCAAAATATTGCCAGAAGGGGGTTCAACTGAGTTGGGGAGATTTGATACTGAACACAAGTAGTTAGGAAATGGGGGAGAGATTGAAGAATCTGAAGAGAGAGTAAATGATAGACAGTGTGAGGAAACTGAATAGGAAAGGGACTTTGAGCTGATGAAAAGGGACACTTTTTCAGCAGACGCAGACTATGGAAATGTGGAGAAGGACAGAAGCAGAAGTTTTTAAAACGAGGGGGAGGGGGAAGTGGTGGCCTCTTAGCATGACACTGCACTGCAGCCCCGAAGCCAGGCAGTTTGAGGCCACCGGCTGCTCTGCTCTAGAAGGATGAGCAATCTCCTCCCCTGTGTTTAAATGCTTCTGAAACCCACCGAGGGTCCGCTATGCGGTAAGTTCTAACTAAGGTACACCACAACAACAGGGCAAAAAATAATAAGTAGAAAACTAAGCTTGTGGTTGTTGTTGTTATGTGCCGTCGAGTCGTTTGCGACTCATAGCGACCCTATGTACAACAGCCCTAAACCGTGCTCTATCCTGTGCCAATCACATTGCCTCTGACACACCCATCCCGATTACCCTAGTCACTAAATCAATCCACCTCATAGAGGGTCTTCCCCTCCTGCGCTGTCCCTCTAATCTACCCAGCATGATGTCCCTCTCCAAAGACCTGTCTCTCCTTGCAACATATCCAAAGTATGTCAGACAAAGCCCCAGAATCCTTGCCTCCAAGGAGTAGCCTGGTTTGACCCTCTCCAGGATGAATCTGTTTGTTTTCTTGGCAGTCCAGAGTACATTCAATACTCTTCTCTAGCACCACAGCTCAAAGGCATCAATTCTCCTTCTATCCTCCCTAGTCATTGTCCAACTCTCTGATGCATAACAAGTGATTGCAAAGACCATGGCCTGTATCAGGCGCACCTTAGTCTCCAGAGAGACACTGTTGCTCTTGAGTACTCAAGAAAACTAAGGGAGTCCCTGAATTCCCTTGTTGTTGTTGTTGTTTGGTGCCGTCGAGTTGTAGACGACTCATAGTGACCCTATGGACGAACAGCCTGAGCACTGTTCATACATAGAGTTTCCGGAGGCAAGCCATTTCCGAAGTGGATGCCACTCCTGCTTCCAGGCTTCTTTTAGTCGGGAAGCTCCAGCCAACACTGTCCACCATGGGTACCCATTACCACAACTGGCACATCACTGTCACAGTCTTCAGCATCACAGCAACTACGAGTTACCTCTGTACAGCAACACACAGACCAGTGCTATACCACCTTCAGCTTGAATTCCCTTACTCAATTAAAATCGTTTCTTGAGTCACTATATACAGACATCAGATGTACAAGTATCATTATGGTTCAACCCATTTTCCAGTCCACACCGAAAACTCCACCAGTAATACAATACAGTAGTTGAGACACTGGTTTAAGACCAAATAGAGCTTACTGGCTTCAATTTCTTTTTTTTTTAATTTATTTTATTATTTTTGTGTGAGTGTACCATCAAATCAGATCTGACTGGTACAGGAGGAGATTGTCCCTCCTTCTCCGGCAGAGCATCTGGTGGATTTGAACTGTGCACCTCTGGGATTGTAGTTGCAGCTCCTTACCACTAGGCCACCAGAGCTCCCCTAATTTCTTAAGCTCTACAGAGACGACTACATCCAACTGTCTCATGTGGAAATGTGATTCTGATCCTTACTTAGTTTTGACACTAACCACTCACAAAGGAATATAACCATGACTTTGACAGCTTAATGGTAAGGAATTGTACCACTAACACAAAAGTACGCAGTTTGAATCCACCAGCTGCCCTGGAGGAGAAATGAACAATCAACTCCCATGGTATTTACTGGCTCAGAAAATGCACTGAAGGGTCAGCTACTGTTCAATTCCAACTCTATGATAAACAACAAGAAGCCACCTTATTCTAGGCTAGACTTAAAAAGTTAAAATGACGCTGTCCTTTGGACTGCCACACAAGCACAAACCAGCTGAAAGCCTGGAAATCTGACCTGCTGGCTAAAGGTCTGAAGGATCCTTCTAATCTCATTAAAATGATAACCTCAAGATTGTGAGATTCCCATTCTCTTACTTCTGACTCTTCTGTCAGTTCAGCAAGTCACTGGAATGACTCAGATATTTCACTAAAGGCCTTTCTTAAATAAAAAGGTTCAAATGAATAGGTGTATGAGGTGAGGTCTGAGAAGACCCCAATATAGAATTTCCATGTCCCACAAACTAGGGAGCTCTCTTTAATCTCCAGTGTCTGAGCTCTGATTGGCCAATATTCCATGAAAAATGAAATCATGACTCAAGAGGTATTAGCATTAGGTCACCAGGTAGTCTCTCTGCTCTTACTCACCCTCACTCATTCGCCTCAAAACCTTACTTGAAGCACTTATTGCAGAAGATCAAGGGATGCAGCCTTCCCCATGGATTGCATCTCACTATCAAGAAAACAAAGATTTTTACCACT